TGTGATTTATATCGTTATCGGACGATAGAATTCTTATATTGGGATATGAGATTTTGGTCATATCGCACAGCCCTACACCATGGTATATTTTAAATTAAACAACTAAAGTGGATACTTTAAATATTTAATTAACTGTTTGGAAATTACATTTTTATAAATACTCCCCCCATTTTCAGACTTAAGTAATGAAACAAAGTAACAACTTTAAATACTTGAGTAAAAGTACTTGTTGCTTGTCTGTGTCTCTCTCTGCCTATTTATTTATTTTTTTTTAATTCCGTAACTAAAAGCACATTAAAGAATTTCCCATTTTTCTCTCTTAGGGAACTTCTGGGTTGCTTTTGCATTATGTGTTAGATGACTGACCTTTTGGATCAGTTTTAAAGCATTTAACTGAATCTGAGCTGAGCTGTAAACTTCCGATATCAGCAGTGATATCATTAATAAAAACTAGTAACCCAGCTCCACTTGCAGCCATACATGCTGACAGTGGCCTCCACACCGTTTGACAGATAATATTGTACGTTTCAGATAATGAACCTCTTTCACCACGTATGCCTTCCCATTATTGTGGTAGAAGTTAATCTTGGTTTAATCTTTCCAGTGTTTTTTCTATTCTTTTTTCATTACTGGACAGGCGCTTGTCAAATCAAATCTGGCCATCATGTTCTGGATTGTAGACTGTGACAATAATACACCCTCCTCCATGTCTAGATGTTTTTAACGGCATATCCTGGCCAGCACAAAGAGTACGACAATCACCCGCTTTAGTCATTTTCTGTGGTCTTTCATTTCTTCTGGGGTTGCTGAGCTGTTGATTTGGCCACTCCTTCAGTTTTTGCTGTCTCTAGAATAGTTTTATTTTGATTTTACAGCCCAATGATGTCCTCCTACACTTGTATCAAGATCTCTTTGGACTTTGTTTGAAAGTTGCAGCGAACAGCTACCAAATGCAGTTCAGTTCAAGCTCGTGAAGATGCATTTCTGGTGTGTCCATGACACTATGCAATGCATTATAGACCTCAGCTTTGGCGTCCCAACACACCAAGGGTTCTCTTTACGTTTTTATCTTACCACTGAAAAGTCGTATGTTCAAGGCTAATTTCGTTTCTAAATATGTCGTGTGTCACAGAAAATACAACAATATGGTTTAATACAGAATGCCTCCAGAAGTGGGGGAAAGTACCATTAATGTAATCTAGAACACGGACTAATACATTTAAAACATCACCCCTGACCCCTTTTAGAGTAATAAGCCTTCTTATTGAGGATATACAGTTCATGTATGTTCATGTAATTAAAAAAAAAAAAAAATCACTGTTGATTTTATACTGTATGTGTTAAAACTGTACATCACTGTTTACGTAAAAACGAAGAAACTTAAGAATCCAGTTCTGTTCTGTTCACGAAGCTACTCCGAATGTTTTACATTCATTTTTGTAAAAGGAAAACATCTAGGCCCAATGACTGAAATAATGGGAGCATACTACCATGAAGCCAAGACAGTGATAATAATATATAGCTCTTCGACACAGATTAATTACAGAGTGAAGTTCATACGAGCTATTTTTATGTTGCTGCTAACTACACCGCTCTTGATCCAAGTCAGACGGTTTTGTTCTGTTTACTGCTATGGTAGTAGTCAGGCATGAAGAACTGCTTTTGCTAATCGTGCTACTCACTTCTGGCTAAAATGTCAACCGCCTATCATAAAGAAAACAGACCAAGGCCCTGACTCACTGATCTTTGTTTTTTTACTTCAACGGTGCGTTAGCTGCCGAAGCTAGCAGCCGAAGTAAGTTAGCAAGCAGGCAGCTAACGTATTTCCTGACAACACGGTAAGAGTTGCAGCAGGCAAATATCAACGACAGCAGATGTTTAAAAATGTATCAAAGACTAGGCGAGCTTGTTATAAAGCAGAATAAAAATTCCCTATTCGGATAGTCGTCTACCTTAGCCCGGTATCTATCTAGCTAGCTATCTGAGAAAGCCTTGTTTTTGAGTGAGCAACCTTACCGTGTCGGCTGCTGCGGACTCGGTGGGGGTGACAGAGCCAACAGCGTGCAAAAACAATCCCATTTTAAGACCCGAACATTCGCCTCTCATTCCTCCAAAGGGGGCTCTGACTACAACAGAAACATAGGCATGCAAAACACTTGTTTTCATAAACTGTGTTCGACTATCTTTAAGTATTTCTCGGCACGTATCGCGTTGCGAGGCCGCTGTAAGCACCGCCTCCTTTGCGTACTAGGCATTACAAAAAACGATGCTAACGCAACTGGTTGCTGTCAGTGCCACTGACTGATACAGCTGTTATACAAGCCGTTCCCTAGCTCAGGCACTCCGCTTCGGTCAGCTGGGTGTGGCGTGGTCACCTCTATACGTTGCATGTGCGCAACGTGATGGGCGTTCGGTACAGTGGATCATAACTGGTTTTGCGGATTGACCAGCGATTGGACAGCCCCAGCCAGATGGGAAGAGTCTGGCCAATCACTAATCGGTGCGTCTCCCGTGCATGGGGTTGTTATGATCCTGGGTTAACGTCTCAGTTTCGTGGGAACATACCTTCGGAACAGCAAAGTTCTTCTCAACAGCAAAATAAAAACGTCTGTGTTTTTGTAAGTCGTTTCCTTTATTTGGCATTTTTGAAGTGATAAAAGTGATGGGAGAGAGGTTCTACGTTGTACCAAAGTTCCAAAACTCTACCACTACTTAACTAGTGAATACTCTAACCAGGACTTCTTAGTTCTAAAATAAATAAATAAATATATATGTTAAAGAAAGAAAGACAGGCAAACAAGTCGTGTAATCTTTTATTACATTCTGTTATCATCTATAATCTTTAAAAACAAAATACTTAAAACATTCAATATCCTCCTGACATGAACTGAAGGTCAATTCACTCGCTTAGTGGCACTTATCCCACATTTTCTTCTGAATTTACAAGCCTCTAAAACCTCTTCTGCCAGTATTAGATCACCGTTGTTGTTTAAATTTCACACTTTTAAGTTACCACTGCCACCTCACACCCAAAACACTCCTGGTTCAAACAAGAATATTCAATTTTGTGCAGTAGCCACAGACATTTTGGAGCTAAACACAGGCAACAAACAAGCTTTAGCTTTTTATAAGTTTGGACTACCACCATTCTTTAATTTGCAAAATATAAATTAGCATTCAAGTCAAATAGGGCTCTTGTATAATCTAAGGACCTGTAAAATATACTTAAAATTGTTTGAGTCCAATAATCATTATTCCTTATCATCATAATTATTTTTCTATAAAACCACAAGCTAATTGTCAAATCATCACCAGTCCCTTTCATGGGGATCTCTGTAGGGTATGCCCAAAAGGCTAAAAACATCCTTCTCTGTCAGTGTGGGAAGTGGAGTGCCACCATGCACCTTCACACTTCCTTGACGTACCACATCTTTGTTCAGTGAGTGCTCCGATAGGCTCATTCTTTTTGTCTTTGCAAAGGCTCTCATTGAACGGTTAAAGTGTGCCGAACCAGTGAAATACATCAGAGCACAAGCAAACTCATTGTAGGGCACTATGATGATATCCAGCCTGCGATGGCGTTGGTCATGCCCCAGCAAACGGCACACACCCATGTATTTCTTCTGCTCACCGTTTTCCTCGTGGCTCACCAGGTCATCGGTTAAAAACCCTTAAAGTAAACAGGTCAGAAATAAAGAGATTTTTATTAAAAGATAAATAAATAAAATACATGCTTAAGTTTTTCTATCAACAAAAATGATGCTTACCACTGTCACGGAGTGTCTGTAAGACTTTAGTAAAAATGCCCCTGTGGGACTTGCCATCAGGGTGAGATATAAGTACATCAACATCTCCACATGTGGCTTTTCCCCGACGATAGGAGCCACATGCTATTGCCACTAAGCCAGGGTCGATGGCTTGTGCAGCATCCCTCACCTGCACATGCATGGAAAAGGCCGTTAATAAAGCACAAACGCTGTTACCTGCAAAAACATTCCACTTCTTATTAGCATGCTGATATTTTTGTGTGTTGTTTTTTTTCCATATTTGCTTGTTTTTGTATGTGGCATGTACTGGCAAAAAAAAGAAAGTTTTTACCTGTTCCCAGCCAAATACTGGGAGGTAGCCTTGCTAAGGCATCGCATATAATTTTGACAAGCTCAAGGGAGCACACATGCTTTAGCCATCTATCTAATATGCACGCTCTATCTGGCAGCTTTGTAGGAAAAAGAAAATCTAAGTAATACAATATGAAAACAACTAGCGTTGTACTTAACGCTCTGGAGCGAACAGGTATCTGGCTAACTTAAGATGCAGCAAGTTTAAGGATTTACTTTTCCCCTTTGGGATGCTCTACTTTGTGAAAAGGCAGTCTGGTTTTTCCATCATCAAGCAGTCAAGGAAAGCTGACACAAGCTTTTTCCTTCTTCAGACCCTCTTTCTACATTTCTGATGGTTAAAGAAGCAAATCTTATTCAGATATCTCAACTCTGTTTAAACTTTACTAAACATATTAGAGTGGTGACAGAAATAAAGATATTTCAGTCATCATCACTAAATTATACATGCTCTTAATGTGACAGATCAAGATGCATTACCACTTTTTCTATGGCTCCTGCTTCTTCTCTGGGCATTCGGTCTAGAAAGTCATTGTAGTGCTTGAGTCCTATTTTCTGAGTGTTTGTCAGGTGGGCTTTTGTACGGATATCCTCCAAAGTACGAAATCCCTGAAAGGCAAAATGACATTTTTAAGAAAAAAAAATGTTATGTTGGCATTTGCTCACTGATTTTTTAAATTCTAATTATTCTAATTATTAATAAAATTAGAATAAACTAGAATAAAATGAAAGACATTCACAGCCAGGAATGAAAGTGGCTTGAGATTCAGTGTTTCCTGGAACCTTGTTCCGGTAAAATTAATTCATGAGTCATTAAATCTGATATTATTTTGAAGCCTGGCACACCTTCCAGCTGAAGTCATGGAAGCAGATAAGCCATCACGTGGTCTCACCTGGATACAACTGTTTTTTCCCCCTCAGTCAGATCAAAATGCTGTAGTTTAGTAAATGTATTAGCGGTAAGCAAGATAGTGAACAAGAGTTGCATTCAATTGTTTTGATTAACAAGAAACTTCAAACTCACAGGCAATGTCAGAATACATGTTAGATCAGACAGTGGATCTAAATACGATGTGTCCTTGAAGCTATCTGTTATTTCCTATTTAAATATCACTTCATTTATTTAATATTTGTGGATTGCTGGCTGAATCCAGAAAGAACGGTTAACCTCAGTGCCACAGCAGCATGCAGCTTGTCCACAAACAAAATAAGCTCACAATTGAATCTATGACTTATTTCTTGGAGACTAATTTCAACCCACTGTACTGTTACATCAGAGTATAGGATGAACCCACTAGAATTCCTAGTCACAGCTGTACCTTTAATAAATATCGTATGGAGGAGTTAAACTTTGTAAAATGATACTGATTTCATTTGACTGAAGCTGCTAATTATACCGAGTCCAGAGTATAGCCAGGGAGAATTTTTAAAAGAACTTTGGCGTGGTAAAACTGACACCTCATAATTGAGTAATTTTACAGTTTAGAAAATCCAATAATGGTATAACAATACATATTTTAGCTCACATTTTCACCAGAATTTGTTATTTTAGTAACAGATTTATGAGAAAATGCAAGGACTGTGTTGTTGAAAAATAAATTCCAAAGCTCTTTGTAGACAAACTGTCTAATGGCAACACTGTTTTTACATTATCTTAAATCTTCTGTAGTTCTGCACTGCAATCAGTCAATACGTGCAGCAATACCAGTGCGGCAGAACTTTTAGCACCATATCAGTCAGGTTGTTTCATTTTTCAGGCTATAGCCCAAAATTTCAATCTTAAACGCCTTTCTGTTACCTTATATTTCATGAAATAGAAGTCAATATCATATCACTGTGTTGTAAAACATATCGTAAGACAGAAAAGACACAGACAACATAATTCACTAACAACTTTTTGTGCAGGGTACAATCTTTGTACTTCAATCTCCTATACTAATATGTAAGTTTTCACCTGTTGGTACCACAGTTGTGCGGTCTTAGTCCCAGCACCCCAGATGTTCATGAAAAGCTCCAGCACTGGCACAGCCTCACCGATGTGATCAAGCTTCCGCAAATGACCGCTCTCCATAATCTCTTCAATTTTGTCAGCCATGCGTTTTCCTATTCCTGGGATCTGACAAGCTTCCTGAGACCAATGGGAAAAAATGTAATTAAAAAAAAGCCAGACAGTCCTTGTATTATCACAGAAGATACAACCTACAGTACACAATGACATATACAGGTAATCAGCAATCTAAACATTGCATTTAAAGCATCTGGGTAAGGCTACCTGATATGATGTAACGGGTTTATGGTAGCTTTTCAGTGCGTTGACAGCCTTGGAGTAGCCCAGCGCCCTCCACTTGTCCCCCTGATGCGTGTAGGCCTTGGCCAGCAATTCAAGTTTGTCTGTGATGTGCTTGTTGAAGTTATTGCTTTTGGACTGAGAGGACTGGGCACAGACCCACTTCCCCGATACTGGCTTCTGAGCAGCAGTATCTGGACCAAGGGAGAGGCTGGGGCCAGGAGTCTCCTCTTTGGGATGCTGGCCAGTGATGAGAGCTTCCAGATCACTCTGAGAGACGCCGTCTTCTTCTCCCCGCACTTCCTCTTTGCTGTCTGGGACTCTCTGAGGGTAGGATGTAATGTAAAATAACTGTTTCTGTTTCTTGCGTTTGGGGTCCAAACGTTTTCCCCTGACTGCTCCAAATGATTACTAACTGAAAGACTGAAATGCACCAAGAAGCTGCAAAACAATATTTTCAACATGATCTGGAAGTTTACCATTTCTGTGCTCTCCTCTTGATCAGTCACTGGCTCGATCACAGTTTCTGCATCAGGTTTGATATTTAGTGACTCTTTTTTAATTTCTTCGTGTTTTGTTTCAGAGTCACTAAGTGGATAGAACATAAAATGTCATTACAATACAAAGCTTAAAACATATATTACTGTCAACGAGGTAAATGTAAAGTACAAATAAGCTGATACACATTTTCTAATGTTTGTGAGAATATCTTGGGATATTCATGCAGCATATTTTACCTTTAACTTTCAAAGAAAGCATTTTTAGATCACAAACCTCTTGGGTGAAAGAAAGGCTGTAGCTGGCTATATCTAGCAGCTGTTTCTCACTAATGCACAAGCTCAGCCAGGTACATTTTACCAGTTGGACTCCAGAGGGCATACAATCTACTTTCAGCAAGCGCAGAGCCCTTTCGCTGCCCATGTTGTCGTCCACAACAACATGAGTGACACCGGGACACAGTGAACTCTCCGTTCGTCCCCCATTCTGCTGAATTTGTCTTTGGAAAATCTGGCATCTGGCATTTCCTATTCCAGCAGGCAGAAGGTATACCGTCACTCCATGAAAAGTGTTTCCTGAGGCAGAAAATGTTAAAACAATCCCAGTAAACAAATATTTTGCATTTTCTGGCACAGTATTCATTTCTCTCTTAATGTAATGCAGCCTTATTTATATTTTTTCTATGTTGTGCTCCATTTTAAAAAAAAAAAAAAATTTCTGTAATGTGGACGCATGCGTGCAAACACTGTAACCACCTGTGACATCACAGTCATCTGCTGTCTTCTTCAGTGGGGGTGCATCCTTCCCCTGTAGCACTTTTGCCCTTTTGACTTTAGGAAAAGCTTTCATAATACCATGACGAGGCTCCATCTTTTCTGGTGATAGGAGGAGCCAGTGGCCTGTGACGTAAGAGAGAATTATAACACTGCAGTCTAAAGCTGGGAAACAAACACATATTTGGAAAAAAAAAGTAAAATAAAATAATTTTAACAGTGATTCAGTCCAGTTTGCTGACATGAGAAAATGGACTTAATTTAGTGTGTGGAAATGTCAAGTAATTTATTGTTCCCTTAACATGTACTTTAGTGGAATGCATAACCCATCTAAAAATGTTGCAATTATGAGAGACATTTAAGTAATTTTCTAATATTTTGAATTTAACAGCAATTTTAGAGCAATTAGTTTGATGGCACACATTTCACAGAGCCTGCTGTCTGAGTTATCAGTACTGGCATTTATAAAAGCCAATAAATGATCATTTCAGAAGAAGACACTTTAAAAGCACTCGTCACTCATGAGTGATGATAGTGTGTCGTTTGTTCTCCAGAGGGCACTCTGCAACTTCCTTGTTGACAGCACACTTGTTTGGAATCCCACAAACAACAACCCTTTAGAGTCAGGCAGAGTGTATACTGCACATAACTACACAAAAATGTTAGGGAAATCTATTCAGATTTCATGTGTATGAAAGAAAACAAATAATGGCTCATATAACAGGATGCAGAAATTTGAAATCTTATTCTGGTCAGAACATTTTGTTAAAGAAATCTTAATGATGCATTGGTGTGTGAAACACATTTAAAGGGTTAAGCTCAAGGGTTTGGTAGGATGAACTTTCAGCTATGTAGCAGTTTAATAGCATTATAATCTCACATAGATTTTGTACAGTACAATGCTTCACTCTGAAATGCAAAGTAGCATATAATACTCCAGTGAGAAGACATCTGTCCCCCAGTACTTTGTCGCGTTACACTACTGCTATTTGACTGGTGTGTCAATTTTCTTAACCCCTACTACGAAAATAAATTTTTCTTACAGTTACTGCTTTAAAACTACTCTCTGTACAATGGATACTCTTGACAGATAGTCTGCATAACCGTACACTATCTTTAGCTGAAGCTGACGTTAGCGATAGCCAAGAAATCAGTATTTAGATTATTACAATTGTAGTATTATCTCAATATATATAAACTAAATTTAAAAAATCGAAAGTTTCCCTGCATAAGTGCATGTTTAAATTTGTTTTAAACGCTTGAAACTCTAATGTTTTGGATCTTACCCCTGATCGCATGGAACCCTACATACAGGAACGTCAAAAGACGGACAACGGTCAATTTAAAAGTTTTACTTCCGGTTCATCGACTATTTAAATTTTGTTAAAAATGTATCATAATCCCTGAAGTGACATATTATGTTTTGATTGAAAAAAATAATTGATTCCAGTAAATTCATTGATAATTTTTTTACCTATTATATAAATATTTTTGTAATTTGCTTAATGTATTTATCGCGGTTGCTTTGGTTACGGGTTGAATCCGGAAGTGGCTCTATAGAAACATTTGTTTGAAACATGGCTGTGCAGAGCTGGAGTGATATCCTAAAATCGTCAAAGAAAACGGCTTTAATACTTGATGGTAAGTGCAAGAAGTAAAATGTGTTTTTAATACAGAGACCTGTTTTTCTCGTTTCCCCAGAATTACTTTAATTTTAAGCATTTTAACTCAGTCATCTCAACTTCGCACACAGCGGTACCGCTAACATGTAATATAAGTAGGTAACAAGCAGGTGGTACAGGTGGTATCGAACTCCATTGAGGTTGTTTTTGCTTTAAAATTACAAGAAATGCGTGTGTTTTTAGTAAAACAGCTAGGCTCCAAATTGTAAAAAATTAAGATAATATGTCCAAAGTAAAGATGTGCTTTTCTCTAGATGTCAACGGCCAGCTAGTCAGGCATTTGCACTGCGCACATTGTTACTTCTCTTTCTTAAGTGAGTTCACCTGCTTGACTATTTAAGCCTGTTGTTCTTATTTGTAAATTACGGTTTGATCCTAAATTTATAAGGAAATATACACACACTCTGGAGACTTCCCCTTACGCCCTTACTGGCAGAACTGCCTCAATTCTTCATGCCACAGATTACATAAAGTGCTAAAAGCAGTTCTTAAAGATCTGGGTCCATATTTACATGAGAGCATCGCACAGTTGTGCAGTTTTGCTGACTGCACATCCATGAGGTTCTATCACATCCCTTAGGTGGTCTACTGGACTGAGATCTGGTCACTGTAAAAGCCATTTTAGTACAGTGAACTCATTATCACGTTCAAGAAACCAATATCAGATTACCTGAGGTTTATGACATGATGTGTTATCCTGCTGGAAACAGACGTCAGAGGATGCAGTATTGTTACAAAGAGATGGACACGGTCAGCAACAAAAGTCGGCTTTTAAATGATGCTCAGTTGGTACCAAAGGGCCCAAAGTATACAAGGAAAATATCCCCTACAACATTACCCCACCACCTGCAGCATGAACCGTTGATACAGGGCATGATGCTTCTATGCTTTCATGCGTTTGAACCCACATTCTGTTTCCGTTATCCGAATTACACTGCCCTAATCTGAACCTCAATCCTCTCTTGTCCAATTTTTCTCAGTCTGTATGGATTATAACCACAGTGTCTTGTTCTTACAAGAATGACATGCACCATGGTCTTCTGCAAGTTTCAACATGCTGTGTTCAGAGATGTTCTTCTGAATATATTGGTCATAACAAGTGGTCATTTGAGTTACTGTGACCTGCTTGGCTATTCTCTTCTAACCTCAGGCATCAACAAGCCATTTTAATGCTGAGAACGGCTGCTCACTGGATATTTTCTCTGGATTCTCTCTAAACCCTAGAAATGTATGTGTGAGAAAATCCCAGTAGATCAGCAGTTTGTGAAAATGCTCAGATCAGCCTGTCTGGCACAGATAACCCTGCAACTTTTGAAGTCACTTAAATCACCTTTCTTCCTCATTGCGAAGCTAGGTTTGAACTTCAGCAACTCATCTTGACCATGTCTACATGCTTAAATACACTGAGCTGCTGCCATGTGATTAACTGATTGGATATTGACATTGAAAGGCAGTTCAACAGGTGTAGCTATGGAGTGGCCAGTGAGAGTATATTTTACATATATCATGACAATGATCACAATTAGTGCTGGGTAAGGACTTAATTTAGTTGGGTTTGCCATGATTTCTGTTGTTGTAGTGAGTAGAGAGTAATTTGTTTACTAATACTTAGGAATTTGCCTGTATGTTGGCTGAATGTCAGTATCTGTTGATATTGGTTCTTTTGACTAAAAATCAGTATCACAAATCAGTGTGATGAAGAGCTGATTTTTTTTAAAACAGGTCAATTATTTATTTAGATTGAATATATTGGTTTTCCTGGTACAATAGTTGGAAATAAATAATAAAGAATAAACAAAATAAACTGACTGAAAAACAAAGATCTGAATCAGCTATTGGGACAACTGTTTTGCAGCATTGGTATTTGCCTAGAGCTTTGCAATTGATGCACATCTGCTTATATGACTCAAATTTGGCTTCTTTTTTGTGCAGGAAAAAGGAAGATCCACTATCTGTTCACAGATGGAAAAGAAATGGCAGAAGAATATGACTTGAAGACAGATGAGCTCCTCGGTAAGCCACATGTTTTGAGTTATACACAGCTGAATGGTGCTGTTAATTTCTACAGTTTCATGCATTGGAGCAGTTTGTGTCTCATAAAGCATTTGATACATTTCAGTGAGAAAATGGCGCCATAAAAGCACGCTTGGAGTTCAGGGCGTGTGGCTGGTGGAGGTTGGGGAGCCCCTTGCAGGCCCTGTTGCATCTTTGGAGTCTGATATGATCAAAGAGAACAGCTCAAATGTAGGTGTTTTTCCCCCCTTAACGTTTTAATTAGATCTCTACATTTGACTTACATTTGTGAAGTTCGTCTTCATTTTGTTTCCGCAGCCCATGTTCATGCGTAAAGACACAAAGACCAGCTTCCAGTGGAGGATCCGCAACCTTTCCTACCCCAAAGATGTTTTCAGTGTTTCAGTGGATCACTCTGAGAGATGCATCATCATCAAAACCTCAAACAAAAAGTAAATATGCATGAGAACACATCTGTGCACCTATTTCTGTTTTGTTCACTGGTTGCATTGAAGTCCCTGCATTCTCCCTATAGATGGCACTGTTTACAATACGTTTGTCCCGACAGTTCAGCTTTGTGACATCCTTCCCATGTCTTCCCAGGTATTACAAGAAGTTCAGTATTCCTGATCTCGACCGCAGTCAGCTACCATTAGACAACTCCGCGCTAAGCTTCACTCATGCCAACAACACTTTAATTGTTAGCGTAAGTTTTGCATACCAGCAATTGATATATATATATATATGTATGTATGTATATGTGTGTGTGTGTATTTTATGCAACCTCATCAGTTTATGATAAAGTTAAAATTGCTCCAGCCCAAAGAGAATCTATTTAACAGGTATAACTGCACTGTCATTAAAAGAATATATATGTACAATATATGTTTTTGTCCACACATTCAAAGAAAATGTATCTCTCTCTTTTGCAAAGAGACATAAGAACAGTTTCACTTTATTGTTTAAGCACTATATGCCAATCATGAGAGTGAAGAATTGTTTCTTTTTTTTTTATTTCCCATGTTTATTTTTCGTGCCCACAATAATTGCTTCAATCACTTTGTGTGTTCATTTTTTCAGACTTTTTTACAAAGACACTCAATAATATGCATAAATAAAATCTGTTATTATTTTTTTTTTCTCTGTTGTCCAGTACAAGAAACCCACAGAGATCTTAACCCTTGAACAAGAGCTACTGGAGGAGCTGAAAAAGCTGAAGGGGAGTGCTGACGGGGATGTCGACTGCAAAACCCAGTGAATTCTGCCTGTGGGAGCCAGGGAATAATTCTGGGTTGCATTTAGAGCAGAACCTCGCAGCATCATTTTCCAGTCACGTATGAGCTCTCATTTATTTCTTCTGTACTTAATCCCTTCATTAAGATTCACTGTGCCTTGTCCCTTAGCTTAATATCTAATTGTCTTAATTAATTTGGTGGAATTATTATGTCTAGAAATGTGTCCAGCCATTTATGTTTCATACAGTGATATTTAGTAAAATATATTATTAGTAGATTTAAAAACTTTGTGGTTTCATTTTCAACCCAAATTCTTTGGCTGACAAAAAATAATGTCAGAATCTGTTTTTGCTTCTTTTTACCAAACCTACTGTGGAGAAGTTTTGTTGGGGGGGGTCACATAACCTACCGGCCTCCTTCCATTGATGTCCTTGTAAAACACTCAAAACACACAAGGCTTCATCCCTGTTCGTTCCGAGGTCACAGTTACGAGGACATCCCATTTGTGTTAAATGAATACCCTCATGTTCCTTGTATGTAGTGGGCCACCCTGAAAGCCATTACTGAAACTTGCGTTACCATCTTCCTTTACAAGAGAAGGCGATTCTGACTTAGTGGTCTATGTCCAAAGTGCCGTAGACATAAGTAAGAATTAGATGCAACTGTTTTTGCAGAGCTTTATTTCAAATTTCTATGAAATTTTTGGTTGTTTGTTTGTTTAACGTGAAGGAATGTGAAGCTGAGATTTTATATCTTTGAGAAACTGAAATGTTTGTGTATACTGTACGCTGAATGACGTTTATTAAAGTTGGATATTTCTCTATTTTTTTTAATCCGAGTTCAATTAAAGAAAAATTGGGGGGAAAAAAGCCCTGGCTGGTGAGGAATACTTAGACAGTGGACAACAAAAGAAGTAGTGTGTTTAAAGGAGACAATGGCATTTAAATATAGATTGTTTGAACCTTGTGATTCCTTGCATTTTTTACCACTTGTCCAAACCCAGAGAGCAAGTGCAGAAAGCAGAGACAAAACCACAGGTCTCTCTCTCTCTCTCTCACTATTGTGCTTTGTCTTCATCCAGATGGAAAGAACAAGAATATAAGAAAACATTTCAAAACCAGCTGGCCCTGTCGCTTTGTAAATTCTTGTGAGGGGCCTGACTGTCAAAATGACAAAAATAAATTCGTACGTAGCGTTTGATAGTTCGGTCTTGATCTTGGTGCCAAATGTTGATTCTGATTATATTAAACATAATGAAGGTTTCTGCTGCTGAGTAGCGTTCATTTAGAAGTCTTAATTTTCTTTAATAATTAACTGTTTTCAGAGCTTCATCTACTGTCAAAACAAATTCCTGCAGCAGCTCACAGCTAACAAATTGGACATCCAGCTCCAACATTGTGGGAGCTCTGTTCAGGGTCTTCTTCCTCCCCTGTCATTTGGCTTCTGATGGTCATGCTCAGCTGCTTCTGGGAAGAGGGTTTCTTTCCTGCCTCCCTTTCATTGCCGAATGCCTATTCCCAGCCATTCCCCCTCTTTCAGTTGATGCCACAGTTTGCCACACAAGCCCTGGTGCTTTTTCTGCAACCCCTCAACTCCCTCTTCGCTGCCTCGCCACCTCCCCCCCCCCTCAAAACCCCTTACCCCTCCCTGTGTGACTGGCTTCCTTTTTGATAACTGACCCCTCCTCGTGTTATTATTCGAACCCACTATTGTATAACATGCCCTTTTATATGAGGTTTCACAAAGGGCCCATTTGATCAGAGGGTTACGGTGTGCGATCGTGAGAAATGCAACTACATGGTGGTAACCTTTGTTTGGGCCAAAATGGTGGGCTGACCTCATCGCTTTTAATGCATAGCTCGGGCCATTCAGGCCCAAGTCTCACTTGCTGAGCACATTGAATTCAGTAGCCTGTCACAGATATTGCCTCTCAGTTATCTGGGTCTCCAGCTTGAAGAAGAAGGTGGAGAGAACTGCAGTTTTGGGGGGATACCAGCATCGCACGCTAGCTTTCCATCCCAATATAAACACACAAGAGAAAACCAGAGCAGCCTGTGATGTCGTTCTTTAGTGGTTTTAATATACACTCTACAATAAATATTTCCATCATTTGATGTAATTTACATTTTTACAGTAAAAATATATTTATATATGTAGAAAAAAAAAACAGGTTACATAGTCTCCAAAATGGCCTCATAAAGGCAAGATAGCATGTCAGCTGAAAGTCAGATGCTGTAACCACAGATAGCTGCCGTGTCTAGCTTCATTATACTCATTTAAACATTCTTTGTTGCTGAGCTGACTAACTTCTAACAAAGGGTTTTCATTCGTGAAATTATTGTTGAGCTCTCCTGTACTTTAAATGCCTCCTGATTTAATAAGAAAATAAGCGTTCTACAGTTTGTCTGAATTGGAAAAAAAATCTAACAGATTAGATAGTCAATGTTTACATACAAGCCAGTACAAAAAAAACAACAAAAAATTATATATCGAATCCAAAAATGAGGCAAAAAGTGTATTGGCACTTGACAGGAAAAGTTAGTTTGCATGAAGCACATGGTTTTCTCTTGTAGTGGTTCTTCTGTGCTGGTTCATCCACGGTTCTCCCTCAGTGGTTTCAGACCTCAGCGTCCCCCTGAGCGCTGGTGGTGGGAATGTTTAGTCCGCTTGTTGAAAGGGTGCGCGGGGACAGGGAGAGGAAGAACATCAAACGGTCTCTTCTCACTCAGCAAGTGCCCCCTGGGTAGACGCTTCATGAAGTGGGCCTCCCTCTGGTGTTGCTTGGTCTTGGAGGCCTTCCTGGGGCGGCCCTTGCGTGTAAAAGCCATGTACCAGCCCTCGTACTTGGCGTTCTGGAGTGCGGTGTAGTTGTTTTCCAGAACAATCTCGGTGAAGATGCAGTCCTTGCCTCGCCCTTTCCGCTGAGGAAAGAAAAGGACACGAGAAGCTGAGACACATTTATACAATCTCCTGGAATCGGAAACACCATCTTTATTTCCAGACAATGAAATATCTCTCAAAATCTAATTTGTTCCGGCTTTGAACGAGTCTCAACAATGTATTGCCATAAGCTTGAAATCTGGAAAATACATTTCCAAGGAACACTTCACAATGTCGCCGTCGTCTTATGCAGCCACAGAACTATTATTTCCAGATTACCTTGCCGATCAACTTCCCCTTCTTGTTCATACATATGTAATATCCTGTCTTCACCCCTTTAATTCGAATGCGACTTCCAAAAGAATCCGTCTCCACTTCCAGTTTAGCTGCATAGACAAAGAAAGCAAATGCGTATAATGAGATGATACAGTCAGGTCACGGTGCAAGCATGCAGACAAACGACCTCTGCATTTCTTTTTTCTGGGGTTTTTTAATGCATGGCAGAAAGAATATGAAAATTTATCATCATCATTAAAGAATATCAAAGTCTTCTAAAAAAAAAAAAAAAAAATCATGGCCAGTCTACTAGAGTCTAAATATGACATAAATTCTCTCTAAGCCCTTTTTTGTAATCCAGCAGCCACCTTTAACAAAGCATGCTAACCTTCCAAAATAGCATCAAATGATAGTGATTTTGTACAGCGTGATTGTTTTCGAATGTCTGTAAATGCTGTGCTGTGATGCAGCACAGACTGGGGATAAAGGAGAGAGTGAATACTGCGGTCAGAGACACAACCACCGAGCACAGAGCAACGGTCAGATTTGGGCCAGTTACAACAGTGACACCCACTTAGGATGTGTGGAGAGTGTATGCATGGCTGACTCTTGCTCTCTCTGTGAATGTGAGTCTAGGCAAAAGAAATTTAAAAGACAAAAGTGCACACAGGAGAGGACTGGAGAGGAAAAGGTATAAAGTGAAGATGCTGACTTCACCGCTCCTTGTAAACTGAGTCATACATTGAGTGTAAAGCAATGAAAATTCCTCATAAAACCAGCCTCCAAGTAGCAGGCATCATGCATTGAGAGGTGGATGGATGGTGGCGGTTGTGGTGGAAAGATGACTAGACGCACCAAAATTTTGGTGACAGAAATTATGTTTCCTTTTAAGTTTAAGATTGTTTTTCCTCCAGTTAAATGTTAAGAAAAAGGTCCCTGCTGAAGTCCATCATAACAGGTGTCACAGACTTTCTGCACCATCAACACACTAAGAAATAATTCATCTGCACAAGACATAAAAGATGGCAAAACTAATGCCACTAACAATGTTTGCAACTGTGGCTTCTGTTTCTACTGGCTCAAACGGTTTTCCACAGGCGGCCAAAAATGACATAATTTATGCTGCTTTTCAACACCGCCCTGCGCGCCATTGAATTTAAACAATTCCGGTGTTTGTAAGGTGAACATGTTTCGTATTTTACTGTTTTCCTGAGGTTTAAAGGCACTGAAATGTAAGAAACGATGGCCTTTAACTGTCATGGGGTTTGACTGATCTGGCCATAACACACGGGCTTGAAGAAGTAAAGTCGCTCGATCATTTTAGAGACAATAAAAAGTGATTCCCCTGAACGGATTAACATATGTGCATCGTTTAACTACCCATTTATTATATAAACTACAGTGAGCCTAAATACATTATCGCATGCGTAAATTTGGAAAGGTTAATGGTTAAGCGAGACTATTCAGCAACTATTTAAAAATAAATCCCAAAAATGTATAAATATATTTTTGTTTTTTTAACTATAAGATTTAGTCCTCCCTGCTGGTCTTATTTAGCGATCACTTGTATCTAACCGTGTGCCGCTCCGTCTTCTCCGTTGGCGTTCACCCTCTTGTTGGCCAGGACCTGGACGTGTTTCCCGCTGGTGCGACTGTACAGCTGGTAGGTTCGGGTCAGCCTGCGGCTCATCCGGTCCGATAGCCGGCTCTGCTCGGTAACGTGGTGCTTGAAATTCGGAGAGGACTGCACGGTGTTCTGTCGAGAAAAAAAAACACCCCAAACACGTTAAGGCAAAAATATTTATTTCACCTGTCTGGAAATAAAAAGCCCGTCAAGTCACAGAGCCAAGGCCCCTGCCAACAGTTCATCATAGCATTAGTCATTTTTAAATAAACCCAATTTTAAATAAAATTGGGTCATTTTGAGTCTTTTCGGAGATGCTTTCAAGAAACCTCGTGGATGACATTTCACTCTGTAGGTTGTTTTTTACCACCGTTGATCTTTCACCCCTTCATGACTTTCTCTTTTCCCCTCATTTCAGCCGTTCGCCGTCCACATGTGTTTTAACAATTACCTTTTAGGCTGGAGCTTACCGCTTTTCAAGATGTTTGAATTGTTGCCAATTGCCATAGCACTCATAATAAAATGTTTTCATTGTTATTGCAGCCTATCGGAGAGGTGGAGGGAGTGGGCTATAAGCTGCTAAGCACTGCGCCTTTGGTACCTGTTAAGTTTTGTTCAAATTAATTAGCCTATAGAACTTTATGCAGCGTTAGTGTATTTTTTTTATTGAAGTGAAAGTGTGCGTTACCTGTGCGTAAAAGCAAAGCGCCGTGAACTGAAGTAACCTGCGGCAAAGACAAAATCAATTAAAAGCTTTAACTTGTTGCTCAGAATGTATGATTTACACAGAGAGCTACATGAAAAAAGATGTTTTACTTACAGATAACCTAACCTCGAAGTTCTCAGCCTCATCTTGTAATAGTTCAAATATTGCTTCATGAATACTCCACTGATTCGCTGCTGGAAGCTCTCGGAAATAAAGTTGCTCCTGAAGGGGATTTCAGCTCAGTTTTATCCCCCTCTTGTTACGCATAGAAAGTGATACCCGTGGCAATTAAGAGATCCAAAACTGTCAGGGTCCCATACAGGTACGGCATCTACGCTCCATTCTACTTATAGGATAGGGGGAAAAAATGGACGATTTAAAAGCGTTAATCCAAACTTTAAAGTCCCGAGAAAGCGTCGCTTTCACCAAACCACCTCCATTCAATCCTCTTTGTGACACTCAGTTATTCAACAATGAAGATTTAAAGTAGAATGAATCCCACTTGACTTGCTTTGTCACCGCAGTGAAGAGTTTTAGTTTTACGCACAGATCTTTACGCACCAGCGATAAGATGCGTAGCCTACCGTGGATTTCCTAAAAAGAAATGTGATTCGATATGAAGGAAAACTAGTGAATGAATATCACGAATGCTAGCGCCGCTCAGTTTGCTTAAAGTTTTCAAGCAATGTCACCACAACTGTCTTTCTATAAGATGCGCAGATAGTAAAGCTCCTGCTTCAACCTTCCTCCCACACGTGTATTTCTTGTGGTTGCCTCCAGTCCGCATACAGCATCTGTCTCCCTCTACATTTAAATACTTTAACTTGCGGGAAAGTCAATATCCTCGGTGAGAGCAGGCGGAGCGTTCAGCCTGGAGCCAAGTTGAAACCGAATACTTGTTAAGTTACTTAGCCTGCAACTATTTGGTTGCAAATCCATAAACACCGCATTCATCAATGAGTTGACTTTATAATTAAACACCTTATGAGATGAAATATAAACTAGATCCTGTCACGAAAAAAATCGGCTTATTTGCGGGTAAACTGGTAGACCTGATCTACAGAAATCTAATAAAAACAACCCCTTCACAATCTTTTAAACCAAGCGTTTAATCACAGTCTTACACATTAATCTTATTCACGCACATGTTTTGATCTTGCAGTCAGTGCACTTTGTTTTCTAAAAGCAGAAATGTCCCCTTGAAAAAAAACCCTTGGCATGTACTTAAGAAAAGCTACAGTTACATTAACCTATTCCCTGACTGCAGGTTAGAGGTTGTTTGGTGGTCCCTCAGGACACACCTCGATGTACTTTTTCATCCTACATATGTAAGTAATATGTATTCCATGTGAACGCATGACACAGAATGGTTTTCACATAACATCTAAAGCCTTTGCCATGGATACAAATGCTCTCTCACTCAAAATCACTCTTCCACAACTTTTCACAATCATGGTTTGATTTTGAGAAGTGTGTCCTGGCCCATGTGTGCTACTTGCAGAGGATAGTTTCATACACTACATCATGCACTTATATTGTAATTATTCTTTGTGACAGCAAAGCAGCAGGGTTTTCTTCAAGGGAAGATCACTGTTGCATAATTGTCTCATGGGTAAAATGGGAAACTTCAAACACAGCTTTTCAAGTACAAAATCTACAACTGAACGAATGACCCCTTGCAATCTAACATATAAAATAAAATTAGGACTCATTTAATTTAAAAAAACAATCAGATATTTTTATATGTCCTTCTTGCTGTCATGTAACTTTTCCCTGCCTTCAAAATTTCAGGAGGATTTTATATAAAAAATGTTATATCATTTCTTTGTCACTTGGACTGTTAAATCTTCATGTTTGCTTCAGATGAACTTTGATATATTTTTGAGTTGAATAATTTCTGGAGACTTTGTCGCCAGCTTTTTTACATCACAAGCACATTAGGAAGGGGACTCCCTAATTTTAGCTAACACATTAGAGAATAAAGGAGAAACAAATACAGTGAAAAAAGGTTTCAGTGTACAATATAAGTAATATTTTTAAGCAGACTTAAAAAAGTCAGCCCAATGTCATTTGTAGACGTGAGGAGAAATACAGAGAAATGTGAAACAAATGTTACTTCAAACCCCTCTTCTTGACTTTATATTGCTCTTGTGAGTGCAGATAAAGCATTAATCATAAATAGAGAAATGACCGACTAAACGCACAATCATAAACTGCCTTCTAAATCTCTACTGTATATCTTAGCCCTCACAATGCTGCAAGTGAAAGTAAATTTAGGTAACTCCGGCAAATCAGCCTTGATAACTACACTTTAAATCAGAATAATATTGTTAACAGTATAGTTTTACAGACTCCAGGCCTCAAATCTGATTATCGTCCTAATGAGCCAAAGCAGAGTTCTGGCTTTGACTCTTACCTGTGAGACTTTATACAAGCAGGCCCATGTTCTTTGTGCGAACAGGATGGGAAACTATTGCACCCTTCACACGGAACAGCTGTACAAGAGTAAAATATAATACATATATAATTATGTGAGTTTGGTCAACGTCTTAGTTGTAAATCAGTCATTTTAGCCAATGCAGGGGATTTAGAGGGTGAAAATGGACTGCCTTATTAGTTCCAGCGGGACACTGCAACAAGTGATTTTGCCACCTGGACCAATTCAGCACTTTGTTCTTTCATATTTTGACCCCATATGAAGCAGCGATTGCACATCCTAATATGAAATCCACATGCATGACAATTAAAGCAATTGTTTTTTTTTGTAGACCACACAATGACTTATCAGCATAGTGCACGTGACTGTGTGACCCCAGATTAGTTCACCCACGAGTCATTTAAAGAAAATTTGATTAAGAGGCAAAGGAAACCTTGAGTCCCATATCGAAGGTTTCTTTTTATTTTAAAGCCACTGTACATCACTCACAGTCAAAGTTTCTATTTTAGGTTTAGGGGATGACACAAAAGTATAGTTTATTATTTACTTTTTCGAATGTCTTGGGGTTATAGCTCATGCTGATTGTCTCCCAAAATTTTAGCTTCTGTCTTTGTTAACTCATAATCAACTTATTTGAGCCGAAACCAACAAGAGAAGGTCAGTGCTTTTTTTATGAGGAAAGTTGTGCATGTTTAATTAATTTTGACAGCCTCGACACATTATCATTGTAATAACGGTTACTTATGAATGATAAATTAAAGAAAAAACATTTAGGATGAGTTTTTAACTTGGCTTTTTTAGTTTGTGATTTTATAAGTGCTTTGTGAGTGAACTGCCCTGAAAAAACGTCTCTAAAAAAGTAGAAATTAGGTTTAAAACTTGTTGGGGAAAAAGTGGCTGATATAATGGCACTGGCTTAATAAATGTTACCTGGGATATGTTACTTGAATATTTAAAATTACATGAGATGACTGACACAACTCTCTGTGTGTATGTAAATATAGGTTTCCACTAGTGGTCTGGCAAGTTTGCTGTGTTCTGCTCCCGCCAAGAAAAACGTAACCTCTTGTTAGCTGAGAAAAAGGGTCTTTACACTTCAGTTTTTGCACAGATTAAACAAACAAGACGTGATGTTTCAAAAAGCGTTAGATGTGCCTTTAGGAGGGTTTCTGAGGTGCTTTTAAGATTTCTACCCAGCAGCAACCTCTGAAAAATGAAACCCATGTACCAAAAACTACAGCTCCTCTAATGCAAGAGTGGGTAATTAATTTCCCCAAGGGGCCACACGAGAAACTGTTGTGCAGGGATTCACCAACAAGCTTATAAAGAGATAAAACCCACCACAATGGTCTCAGGTTCTCGTGGGGACTCTTGGGAAAATTATTTGCCTACCCCTGCTTAAAGGCTGTCTCCAAAAGTGTTGACTGTCTGGTATAAAACAAACAAATTAATAGAAATATTTTGTTCTCTGCAGTTAATTTCCTGCTTTTGTGTCAGCTGTATAGGAAGTACTTTTTTATCTCTAAAAATCATTAAAGATAAATTGTTTTAAGACTAAAAGTTATACTGCTCTGATAAGCCAGTGACAAAGCCTAAGCCACGAGCTGTCTGCCAGTCTTCAGCTCATATAATGAGTTTGTTGGAGTATTTGAATGCAGTTATTTAATAGATATTATACCTTTATGCATAGTTAACAGTAGCAAAAGGCCATCTGTGAAGTCTAATCTGTAGTTTGGTGGTAAGTAACCTATGAATAGCATAGGTTACTTACCACCTATCAGGAGTTAGCCAATGCATACAGTCTATGGATGCAACATATTAACCCAACTTGCTACTATTTCCTGGTGTCTCTGGCTGCCATTCAGGGCATCAAAAACCAATGCTTGACTTTTCACTGGCTATATAATCTCTTATCTCCATCTGAAAAAAAAGTATATTCCAGGACTTTAATGTCTGAGTTTTGAGCCAGTATTTTAAATCATTAGAATATTTCATTTCAAGTTTGAGTAAATTACACATAAAGCGGTAGAAATATTGTATCAGTGCAGGTAAAGACTGTTGACTTGACAGTGGTCCAGATGATGAAAGCTGAGCCACATAAAGTCATTGCTAAAAAGGCTGGTTGTTTGCAGAGTGCAGTATCAAAGCATTTTAATGGAAAGTTGACTGGAAAGGAAAATTGTGGCATGTAAAGATGTGCAAACAAAAAGGATGAGTGCCTCAAAGTTTTTAATGCAAGAAAAGTCGCCACAACTGTTTAATTCCTAATAACAAGCTACTCCTGAACCAGATGTCAGAAGCATCTTACCTGGGCTAGGGAGAAAAAGCACTAAACTGCTGCTCAGTGGTCCAAAGTCTCATTTTCAGATGAAAATCAGATACGTTTTTTTGCATTTCATTTGGAAATAAAGATCCTACAGTCTGGATAAAGGCTTGGTGTTTGAACTCCAGTGTGACGTTCCTGGAGTGTGTGATGGTTTGGGGTGCAATGTTATCTGCTGGTGTGTTTTATCAAGTCACAGGGCAGTGCAGTCATGTACCAGGAGATTTTATGCTCCCATCTGCTAACTAGCTTCATGGAGGCGCTGATTTCTAGCAGGACTAAGCACCTGCCCATGGTGCCAAAACTGTAATGTTATTACAATGTTATTACAATGTTTGATTGGCTAGCTAACTCTCCTGACCTGAACAACAAAAAAAATCTTTGGGCTATTGTCAAGGGGAAGAAAAAAAATTTTTTTTGGAAAAACACCAAAATCCAGGCTGCTAACACCTCAGCAGTGCCACAAGCCGATCGCCTCCTCGCCACGCCGCACTGATGCAGTAATTCATGGCAAAGGTGTCCCAACCAAGGACTGAGTGCAAAAGTCTGACATTTCTGCATTTTCAAACCTTTTTTTTAAAAAACTGATCTTAGGTTTTTAATTTTCAACACTTCTAAGTCATAATCAATATATTCCATGATGTAGACACATCCAGGTTTTTATGATAACCCAATGCAACTGCAATCTGAATATAAATCTTCTTATTTAACTCGCACAAAAGTTCATATGTTTTCAAAAACATCAAACTTTTGTGTTAACTACTCCTTTAAACAACCCCAACACCTTTGTCCTTAGTATAGTATCTGCCCCTACAGCAACACAGTGCTCAGTCTGGTGCTGTAAAGTCCATACATCTCTTACATTTCACAGCAGTCTACAACAGCCACTTACAATTTAGAAACAATTCCGTCTCTGCAATTATAAACGACATTTGGTTAAGGTGACCTGTCAGGCAGTTTTGGCTAAAATTCTCCAGACTGAACATGAAAGGTTCCTCGTGAAACCTGATCAAAAGCTATATTTTTTATTCTGCT